ACGTCCCACTGCTACGCGATCACTAGGACACAAGGATCTAGCGTTACGCGCCGCTCGTATGTTGCCATTGTCATTTGTAGAGCGCTCCTCCCAACGCTTCATCGCGCGCCTAGTGATCGCATAGCAGTGGGATGTTCTTCTCGCTGCGCGCGCTTTACTTGCACGGATTCACCAATCTTTTTTCGTTAATTACTTAGTACTTATTACAAAAATCAAAAAATGGTAAAGGACTTTTCTACTCGATTTGACCTCCTCTACCTGTACATGACCGGTGGGGCGATTATTGCCAGACACCCTGTATACTGATTATATTCAACATACTTAATTTTTATTATAGATACTTATAAAATTTTATAATCACAATGTTGCCGCATATTTAATGATCCCTAATATATACCCCATCATATTGGTTTTAAAGAATTATTTTAAGATTTCAACAGAAACATTTCAATAATATTTTATTAGCAAATATTTGAAAATTGTTAACACTTTGTAAATTTTATCATATAAATATTCACATTTGCAATGTTGAAACATATATTACAATTTCATTATTTAAGTTTGTATCATAATAAATTTGTGTATGATGCTTTTTATATTATCCTAGAATTGTACTTACATTTATGAATTTTAGTTACAATTTCTTGACAATTTTTGAGGTTTTTACAATTAAATATAAAAAATAAATTTCTTTATAGTATTTCTTTTGTAACTAATGCATATAAACAGTAAATATTATTTTAAAAATAATTTTTAAATATGTACTATTTTTTCTTTTATTTTACTACTTTACAAATGATGTTTTTTGTGTATATCTCCAAATTATATTTTATTTTCATTGATATTACAGTCTAAATACGAGTACAAAGCAATTTGTATTACAAATGCATCTGTTGCAACGATATTTAACATTATAAACGTTAAATATCTAGCGCTATAATTTGCAATATATGTAATTTATAGCGCTTTTCTAATTTACTTTTCAATTTTTATTACGCAATTTCCAGTGCTATCAATATTTTACAAAATAAAAGTATTTTTTCGATAAAAACTCAAAGCATTTCTATATTAAAGGAGCGAGAGAGAAAACACTAAAGCGTGCGAGAGAGACAGCTACTGTTTGACGATGAGATCATTATGCTCTCCCCTTCCTTTGTCGCCCCTCGCCTACAAGCTGTTTCTAGCTCCCCCCTTCCTTCGTCGCCCCTCGCCAACAAGCTGTTCTAGCTCCCCCCTTATTTCATCGTCCCTCGCCCACAACCGGTTTGCTTGAGGTAACCTTCTCTCTATAGATCTTGGCCTGAGGTAACCTTCTCTCTATAGATCTTGCGGTTGGCACACGACGGAGCGCCTGTCGGTGAGTGCGTTCGTAGAGTGTCGCGAGTCCGTTCGATAATAGATCGATGCGGACTGCTTGGCGGCGCGGATTGGTCGACGCGGTTTTGTCTGCCGGACGGATTATGATTCGAAATCCCGGCGAAGAAACGCGATATATGGATCAGGAAGCCGATTACGCTCGGCGGGAGTACGAGAACGCTCGTACGAAGGCGGAAATAGAACGGCAATCCGGCTAGGTGCACGGGAATGTCTGTTGCACAAAGATCGGTGCCTAGAGAGGCCGAGTGCGCTCGGCGGGAGTACGAGGACGTTCGTACGAAGGCGGAATTAGAACGGCGATCCGGCTAGGTACGCGGGAATGCCCGCTGTACGAAGATCGGTGCCTAGAGGAGTCGAGTACGCTCGGCGGGTATACGAGTACACTCATATGCTGAGGCAAGAATACCGAGGACGCTCGGCGGTACACGAGAACGCTCGTGTGCTGGAAAAAGGCATAGAAGCCGAGTACGCTCGGTCGGACTACGAGAACGCTCATAGAGTGATGTTCGCTGTCTAGCAGCGAACAGGATCTGGTGAGAAGACGTACAGCCGGGCCTCTTTTATACCCGGCTGGCGGCCGACTGGCTTCGGACCGGTAAGCATCAGTGTTGCGATATGGGACCGGTTGTATGCGCATGTGCGGCTCTGCGCATGTGCGGTGATGGAGATCCAGTGCCGTTATATATTATGTGTTGACCGTATGGCGGGACGTTTTGACATGAGAAGGTCTGGTGACTACAAATAAGGTAAGATTTATTTATTTACAAGCATGGAATCTACGGAGCCAGCAGCTAAAAAACCAAGAAGTAAAAATTTTAATCAATTTCAAAAAATTTAGAAATATTTTTAATGTAGCGGGGTAACGGTGCCTTGTTTAATTTGTATGAGACACTGTACTGACGCCGCATTGCCGCACATGCGCATACAACCGGTCCCATATCGCAACACTGGTAAGTATCGGCGGTTTCGGCGGCGGGCCCCCACTAACGGAATTTCGGAACGGTCGGATGTGGGGGTCCGTTTCGGCGATTGACCACCGTTGTTTTTGATGAAGCTTTATCGGCGCTCGATGCGCCCTTGGTGGGCTACGGACGATAGACGGTCCGTAGCCATAACGATGCAGCTTGCGGGCTGCACCGTTACAGTTATAATTACGAATTATAAATACTAAATCGGATCATATATTAGTGTCTGTACAAACATAGCCAACGTTTAATCAAACATTTGTAGAAATCGATTAATTAATTGAAACATAACTTACTTTTTATTAATTTTTTTTCGTGGTAATAAGAATTTAATTCGTAGGTGAACATTATCAACAAATTGCTGATATTTATTGATGCAACAGTTACTGATATTTATTGATGTTTGTTTCTAAAGTCTACCAGAAAGTTGGTAATAACCGGCCCTAAAACTTTAATTGCGTTTTTCTAAAAAAGAAGTTTATTAAACTAATGTACAACATATTCCAGTTAGTTGTGGTCTAATTTATTAAAAATTTTTATTAAATTATTTTTGACAGTATGTCTTATCGTCATACGTACAATCTTTACTTTATAACAATTTGTTCTTAAAAAAAAATTTTTTTTTGCAAACATGCGTAAGTTTTAAAATTTTTTAATTTTTTAAATTTTATACGACTATAAGTACAATATTTTTTTTTATTCCTTACGCAGGAATAATGCGCATAGCGTGTTAATTGTTATTTGTTTTTAATGTAGGAATAACTAACGTAACACGCAGTCTACATAATAATTTTTTTAAACAAACAAGTTTGTTGCATTTAAACAAAATTATTTTTATAAATACTTTAGACATTGTTTATTGAACGGGTAGACATGCTTGCTGTAAATTAATTGTCAGCGCAAAAAATTAAAAATCTTTTTTTGTTTTGGACAAATAGTTTTTCCACACGCTAATGTTATATTTTGAAAAACAT